ACCTTTTGTGACGTGAAACAAATGACCGCAGAAAATTCTAGAAAGGATTTTTTTTTTTTTTTTATATTTAAATAATATTAGATCAAATTGGAAATGGTGGCTCGTACATCTCATATGAGACAACAAATACAATGTTTTTTGTAAACGTTGGCACCGAACAATGTTTGCAATAATAGTACTAATAATAATAATGATAATGATAATAATAATAATAATAATAATACTAATACTGATTAAACACAAAATAGAGAAAAATACAATGTTATTCAAATCGAATGGAATCGAAAAAAAAAAAATTACCGCCTTTTTTTTTTTTTTTTTATATATATATTTTAAATGAGGGGCAATAGCCTAATAAATTTTTTTAGTTTAGTTTTGTTTAAAAAAAAAAAAAAAAAAAAAGGAAAAATGTGTTAATTTGTTTAAATTTTCAAATCGCGCCATTTCGTGTTTTAAAAATTAAAAATTTCTAATTTTATAATTAAAAAAAAAAAAAAAAAAAAAAAAAAAGTTTAACTGAAAGAAAAAGAAATTTTTATACGGTCAAACGGAGTTTTTAATAAAAACTACAATAATAATAATAATAATAATAATAATAATAATAATAATAATAATAATAATAAAAGCCAACGGCCATAGCGTGCTGGTCACACCGGTTCCCGTACGATCACCGAAGTTAAGCAGCATCGGGCGTGGTGCAAACTTGGATGGGTGACCGTTTGAGAACGCCACGTGCTGTTGGCTTAAAAGAGCAAAAAAAAAATGAGAACAAGACAAAGTAAGAACCAAAAACAAAATCTTGTTCTACTGTCGACCTGAGGCAGCTCGACGAGAATGTGAATTTCACTGCTTCTGACCCTGGCCACTCCAAAGATGTTAGTCACCGGAGCCCAGTTCAGGAGACAAATCGTTCCCATCGAAAAAGACGGACTCAGGAAGACCTTCAAGAATTGATGTGGTGCTATCTTATAATAAGTGGCACCACCGAAATTCGAGTATTTGTCCCTAAGGAATCGGGTAGAAACCTCGGATAAATACTTAAAAACTCCGACAAGTAGCCTTGTCGTGTTTAATGGTGGATAATAATAATAATAATAATAATAATAAAATAGTTGAATGGTTTTTTTTTCCCCCCAAATAGAATTGTAAAGAAATTTATTATTATTATTATTATTATTATTATTATTATTATTATTATTATTTAAAAATATTCAATTTGTATTTAATGATGATTACGTTTAATAGATTTTTACCTTTGTACTTTACAATTTTATTATAATAAAATTAAATTTTGTGATTGTGTACGATTTATTATTATTATTATTATTATTATTATTATTATTATTATTATTATTATTATTATTATTTATAAATAAATTTAAATGAAAATTTTATCGTTTAAAATGAGAAGGAAGGAAGGAAGGAATAAGAGACAAAGATCGTTTTTCCTTCGATCGTAATTCCTGTTTTTTTTTATTCCTTATGGAATTATTCATAATAAATAAAAATTATCATTATTATTATTGTTTTTTTCCAGAGATCTACAGGGAAACAACATCACAATAATATTCGAAACGGATTTTAAAAACATGGGAAATTTAAAAGTTTTGTAAGTAAATTTTTTAATAACAATTTATTTATAAATTATTTTATTCTGAAATTAATCCGCCATTACTAATTTTTTTTTTTTTTTTGGTAAATGTTTCAATTAAAAACAAAAATGGCGGAAAAGTTGGTAAAATAATTTCGACATTAATTAAATTTAAAAAACAAAAAAAAAAAAAAAATCATCGAAAAAAAAGAAAAAGTCAGAAAAAAAAAAATTTTTTTTGTTGTTTTTATTTACATGATGACGTCACGTACCCATATGAATTTTTTCTTTTCTTCTGCTTATTTTTCCATTTTTGATTTGTTTTGTTTTGATTTTTTAAATTTTTTTCGTTGTTTGACTTATTATCTTTTGTTTTTTTCTTTGTCTTTTTCCAACTTTATGTTTTTTCTCTCTCTCACACACACACTTTTCAAATAAAAGAAAAAAAATTATGTATATTTTTATAATTATTTTAATTATATTTCTAATGAGTGAGAAAAGAGAGATTTTTTGGACATTTAATTGATATGATTATTTATTTATTTATTAACTTTATTTATTAACTTTATTTATTTATTTTATTTTTTTTATTTTTTTTTAAATAGGAATTTACACGATAATCGGATTCACACAATCGATAGAGGAGCTTTTCACGATTTGATTTCTCTCGAAAGATTGTAAGTTTTTTTTATTTATTTATTTATTTATTTACTCGTCCATGTTTAAAAAATGTCTTTGTGTCCCTATTATTATTATTATTATTATTATTATTATTATTATTATTATTGAAAATATATATAATTAAATTAACGGTTTTAATTATAATGTGGTCATTTATCAATTTAATATCGAATTCAATTTTTTTTTAAATAACTCATTAATTTAATTTCTATAAATATTATAATTTATTATCAAGCAGAAGAAAATAATTTTAATAATAATAATTATCATTATCATCATTATGATTTTTCTTTTGATTCGTAACAACCAAATGTTGTACTCCCCCCCTTATTTTTCCATTAATGTTTTATTCAAATGTATTTTTTTTTTTTTTTTTAGATGAAAAAAATTTTATTTTTGTTTCATTCACGTTCACATAATTTCTCTCTCTCTCCCTCTCCCTCTCTCTCTCTCTCTCACACAAATTATAGTTTTAAATATAAAAAAAAAAAAAAAAAAAAAAAAAAACGTTCGTTCATGACATCTGAATAATCTTTTCTTTCTTTTTTATTTTTTATTTTATTTTATTCGTTATAAATTTTTTTTTTTTTTTTTTTTTTTGTAGTAAGTTTTTAAAATACTATTAGAAAATTATGGACAAATGAAACATAAGCTTTTAAATGATTGCAAAAACCCGTTTTTCCATTTGTTGATCCCCATCCTTCATTTTTTTTTTTTTTTATAATAATAATAATAATAATAATAGGATTAGAAAAAGATTCTCTTTTATAAATAAATAAATAGAGTTGAAACGTAATTATCATTATCATCATTTTGTATTTTCGTGATTTTGCTTCTGGAGAAAAAAAAAAAAGAAAAGAGGCTAAAATCTTTGGTTTCCACTGGATAAAATTTTTTTTTTTTTTTAAACAAATTTTTCGAAAATAATAATAATAATAATGATTTGTTTTAACCGAAAGCTTTTTCTTTGGAAAAAATTTTCATTTTTTTTTTTTTTTTTTTTATACATTTTAGGAGGTTAAGCACGAATAATTTAAAACACGTACCAGATTTTTTATTTGGTAATCTACCTAATTTGCATAGGTTGTAAGTATTTTTTTTTTTTTTTTTAACCCTAAAACTAACCCTAAATAATAATAATAATAATATTAAAATATTAATTGTCTTATTAGTTTATTAGAATTTATTTTTTTTTTTTTTTTACATCGCAGAGATTTGAGTCACAATCAACTTGAAGTCGTGGGTAAGAAAACATTTAAAGGATGTTCGCAATTAAAAGTTCTTCAATTGGACAATAATAAATTAACGTGTATTGATGAAACGGCCATAAATGAACTTCAAGATTTAGAAGTATTGTAAGTTTTTAATAAAAAAAATGTATCGTGCGTTATGTTCTTTAACATATCAATAAAACAACAACAAAACCTTTCTTGAGATCATTTTTTTTTTCCTACTTGTTAGACATCTGTCATTAAAAGTTGTTTTTACCAAAATAAACAATTTATAAAAAAAAAAAAAAAAAAACATGAGAGTAAATTTTTGTGTTTTTTATTCATCCTGCAAAAAAGTCGTAAAAACTACACTTTTTTTTAATAAATAAATAAATATTTAAACCTGTTGTTGTAAACTTTATGTATTTTATATTTTTTTTAAAAAAAAATGTTTTATAATTTAAACAGTTCATCTTTGTAACATAAATTAAGTTTATGGTTTTTTTTTCTCTCTCTCTCTCTCTCTTTCTCCAGGACTCTTAACAATAACAATTTAACATCGATAGGAAAAGGAATGTTTGAAGGATTGAGTTTGAGGAGTTTAAGACTATCGGAAAACAGTTTAATATGCGATTGTCATTTGACTTGGTTGGCTAGATGGCTTAGAAAATCTCCCAAATTGGCTCCCTACACGAAATGTTTTTCACCCAATCAATTAAAGGGTCACAACGTTGCGGATTTACACGATCAAGAATTCAGGTGTTCGAGTTTGGTCGAAAGACCCTCCGGTGAATGCGAAGCCGAACAAGAATGTCCTCATCCTTGCAGATGTTCAGAGGGTATCGTGGATTGCAGGGATAAAGCTTTGACGAAAATTCCGGATACTTTACCGGAAGGAATGACCGAATTGTAAGTTCAACAAATGCCCTTTTTCGAATTTTTATTACCTTTTATTATTATTATTATTATTATTATTATTACAGGCGACTGGAACAAAATCAAATAATTGAAATTCCATCCAAAGCGTTTACTCCGTATACAAGACTTAGGAGAATGTAAGTTTTTATTATTATTATTATTATTAATTATTAATTATTATTATTATTATTATTATTGTTATTTTTGTTGCAGTGATTTGAGCAATAATAAAATTAGTAAAATAGCTTCAGATGCATTTCAAGGAGTTAAAAGTCTTACATCGTTGTGAGTATTAAATGAATTTGAAATTCGAATTAAATTATTAATCATTCGTAATTAAAAAAAAAAATTATTTGATTTTTTTTTTATCCAGGGTTTTATACGGGAATAAAATATCAGATTTGCCACACGGAGTCTTCCACGGTTTAACCTCATTGCAATTGCTTTTGTTAAACGCAAATGAAATTTCTTGCATCCGAAAGGATTCATTTAAAGATTTGCACAATGTTAATTTATTGTGAGTTTTTTTTTTCTCCTGAGGGAACCATAATGATTTGCGATAATTTATTATAATAATCTTGTGTGAAATGTTTTCAGATCACTTTACGACAATAATATATTATCCCTAGCAAATGGAACTTTTGATTCGCTTAAAAACGTACAAACTTTGTAAGTGGTAACGAATGAAATTGAAAACTATTTAAAATATTCGATTTTTAATCGACTGGAATTTTTTTTTTTTACAGGCATTTAGGAAAAAATCCATTTATTTGCGATTGTAATCTAAGATGGTTAATTCAGTACCTGAAAAAAAATCCCGTCGAAAGATCTGGAGCGAGATGCGAAACTCCCAAACGTATGGGACGAAAAAAATTTGATTTGACGAAAGATGATAGATTTAAATGCAAAGGTTAATAAATCCCTATAAATTATTTTAATATGATAAATAAAAAAAAGCCTCGGGGCGGGGGGAAATATGTAAATTATTATTATTATTATAATAAAATTAAAAAAAGTGAATTGACAAATCGTTACGTGAATGAATAAGTAATAATAAAATAACAGTTAATAATCATCGAATGCGTTGTCGTATGAATTTTAATTTGTTATTCCCTATGAGTCATTTGCATGTAAACACAATATTCGACCTTGAATGGAATGCGGCGACATAGTAGTAAAAAAAAAAACAAAATGGCGGACATTTGTTTTGTTTACGATTATCGTTTAATAAATTGAGATTAATGAATGAGGCCTCCTTAATAAAAATTAATTATAAAATATACCCGATATTTATTTAAATTTTTTTTTGGAAATTTAGGCACAGAAGAATTTAGAACGCGTTATGCTGGAGATTGTGTTATCGATAGTGCGTGTCCCGTGGGATGCAGTTGCGATGGTACAACCGTTGATTGCGGAGGACGAGGTCTAACCGAAATTCCAAAAGATATTCCAAAATACACGACGGATTTACTTTTAAACGACAACGAAATAACTAAAATAAAATCGGATGGATTATTTGGAAGGTTACCCAATTTAGTGAAATTAGATTTTAGACGGAATAAAATTAACGGAATCGAACCGAATTCGTTCGAAGGAGCAGAAAAACTTTCAGAATTGTCAGTATGGAGATTTCGAAAAGGGCAAAAGAAAAGGATTTTTATTTAATATTGTTAATTTATTTATATTTCAGGTTATTATCGGAAAATAAACTCGGGGAAATACATAATAAAATGTTTCTCGGTTTACATAATTTAAAAAAATTATCCCTTTACGAAAATGAAATTTCTTGCGTTATGCCAGGATCATTTAATTCATTAATGAATCTTAAAACTTTGTAAGTTATAATTATTAAAATAAAAAAAAAAAATAAAAATAAGGTACAGTTTTATTAACATAAACAATAAATTTCAGAAATCTTTTATCAAATCCATTTTATTGCAATTGTCATTTGGCTTGGTTTGCGGATTGGTTAAGACGACGTCAATTAAGTGCTGCTAATCCGAGATGCGGAGGACCGGATCATCTCAAAGACACGCTAATCCAAGAATTATCTCATAACGATTTCAAATGCGTCGGAGATCAAGATCAGGGTTGTTTGGGCGATTCGTACTGTCCTCCGAAATGCTCTTGTACCGGTACCGTTGTCAGGTGTACACGTGCCAAGCTCAAAGAAATACCCAGAGGAATTCCACCCGACACATCCGAACTTTATTTAGACGTTAATGAAATTCAAAGCGTACAAATCCCACGAATCCATCATTTGAAATATCTAACGAAATTGTATGTTTTTCACACGTGTAGACAACGTGCAAGAAAAAAATTATAATTTATTTAATTGTATTTATTTTTTTTTTTTTTAGAGATTTAAGTAATAATCAAATTTCCGTTTTATCAAATTATACATTTGCTAATTTAACACGATTGTCTACGTTAATAATTACATATAATAAAATTCAATGCGTCGAAGTTCATGCTTTCAGTGGCTTAAAATCCTTAAGGATAGTGTAAGAATCATTTATTTAATATAAATTTATGAGATTATTATTAATCGAGGGGAGGAGGGGAGGGGGCAGTATAGTTGAAAAAGTATGAAAAGTAATTAAAAAATATTTTTTTTCATTTCAGGTCATTACATGGGAATGATATTTCACAATTACACAACGAAACATTTGCCGATTTAGAATCAATTACTCATTTGTAAGTTGTTTTTTTAATGAATATCACAGCAGGATTTAAAATATCAAATTACTCGTTAAAGGTTGTCACTTGTCTCTAACTAATTGATTTGATTTATTTTTGAAAAATTAGAGCTCTCGGAGATAACCCGTTTTATTGCGACTGTAATTTAAGATGGCTGGCGGAATGGGTTAAAAGTGATTATGTCGAACCAGGAGTTGCTTTTTGCGCCGAACCCATTTCTCTCAAGGGCAAACTTTTACTCACAACACCGTCTTCTGCTTTTCAATGCAAAGAAAAAGTCGGAAATGAAATTTTAGCTAAATGTAACGCCTGCTACACTTTCCCCTGCGTGAACGGAGCACAGTGTGAACCTTTACCCGAAAGACAATACAAATGCAGGTACGGTGTTTCACGCATGAACATAATTTTAAATAAATTATATTGTTTCCTATCGTTAAGGTTCAATTTGTAATAATTATTATTTACAGATGCCAGCCGGGATACCACGGACCTCATTGCCAGCACATGATTGATGCATGCTACGGAAATCCTTGCAGTAATGGTGGTACATGTAAAGTACTGGAAGAAGGTCGTTTCAACTGTCTTTGCCCCCCGGGATACACAGGAGTTCGTTGCGAAATAAATATCGACGATTGTCTTAATCATAAATGTGAAAATAATGCAACTTGTCACGATTCCGTTTTATCATACGTTTGTAAATGTCTACCTGGTTTCATGGGAGAATATTGCGAAATTAAAATTCCCTTTTGTAAGAAAGAATATAATTCTTGCAAAAATGGCGCCACTTGTCGGGATCATTATACCTATTACTCGTGTGAGTGTCTACCCGGTTACACCGGGGAAAATTGCACCATCAATATAGACGATTGTCAAAATCATTTATGTCAAGTAAGTTATTTTTACGTGAAAAGTTGCGAGTATTTTCATCAACGGTTAAAATTTACTTGTTTTTTTTGTTAACAGAATGGCGGAACGTGTGTGGATGGCATCAATGATTATACATGTAAATGCTCAGAAGATTTCAGTGGAAAATTTTGCGAAATCCCACCAATGGTTGCTATGTTATATCCTCAAACTAGTCCTTGTCAACAACACGATTGTAAAAATGGAATATGTTTTCAACCGACGGGTTCTAATGATTATTTGTGCAAATGTCATCCCGGTTACACGGGTAAACGTTGCGAATATCTAACTTCCATAAGCTTTTTACATAATAATTCCTTCATCGAATTAGAACCTCTCAGAACCAAACCCGAAGCCAATATAACCATCATATTTTCGACGGAACAAGACAATGGAATACTCATGTACGATGGTACTGAATCTCAACACATAGCTGCAGAATTATTTAGCGGTCGAATTCGGGTAAGCTACGATGTAGGCAACAATCCAGTGTCTACCATCTACAGTTTCGAAATGGTCTCCGATGGTAAATACCACGTTGTCGAACTTATTTCGGTGAAGAAAAATTTTACACTTTCCGTCGACGGTGGAGTTGCTCGTTCGATAATAAATGAAGGGGATAAAGAAAATTTATGGTTGACGACACCCTTGTACATTGGTGGTATAACTCAGGAATCAGGTCAAGAGGCTTTTACAAATTGGCACTTGCGAAATCTGTCCAGTTTTAGAGGTTTTTATTATTATTATTATTCATTAGGAAAAAATCATGACGTTTGTTTTTATATCATTGTATATTATTATTATTATTTTAAGGTTGTATGAAAGAAGTTTGGGTTAATCACAAGTTGGTAGATTTTACGAATGCAGCCAAACAAAATAAAATAACCGGAGGTTGTTCTTTGCTCGAAGATGATGATGATGAGCAAATGGAAAGCGATGGAGATGGCGGAGGAAGGAGGAACGATCCTGACGACGATGATGATGATCCTTGTTTTAATAACAATTGTAAATCTGGAAGTACCTGCGTTGCTAAAGCATCTGGAACGTACGCATGCAAGTGTCAACCTGGATGGTCTGGAAAATATTGTGAAACTGGTAAAGAAAATTAACCAAATCATTTATTATTCACGTAGGAGGAAAACAGGTATATAATTTTTGATTTGATTTCAGGGCCTTCGTGCAGAAAAGAACAAACTCGTGAATTTTATTTCGAACACGGATGTAAAACGAGGAAACCGTTGAAATTAGCTAAATGCGAAGGAAGTTGCGGATCCAGTTGTTGCAGAGCCCGGAAAACAAAACGTCGCAAAGTTCGTTTGCTTTGCCCCGATAAAATGAGATATACAAAAGAAGTTGATATTGTCAGAAAGTGCGCATGTAGTAAAAAATGTTATTAATTGCTTCTTTCTTAATTCCAGTGTTATTTATTTTATTTATAATGTTTGTTTTTTCTTTCTTTATTTTATTATGTATATAATTTATTTATTAGGTGTTTCTTAAATAATCCACTTTATATATATTAAAAAAAATGAGATATAAAAGATTTCTATTTATTATTTCAAATTATTATTATTATTTTTTGTAATACTACAACATTTAAAATTTTATTATAGTACTCTTCATATTAAAAACATTTTATTTTTTTTAATTTTGTTTCAGAATTGATGTCAATTTATTTTTGTTATTAATTAATTAATTAATTATTACTTCATCACATATAAATTTTTTTTTATTTTTTTAAATTAAAGCAAATTATTATAAATAGATTTATATTATTTAATTTTTTTTAAAAAAAAACTTATTTTGCAATCTCATCATTTTTTATTGTGTGTTGCTTCCAAAATATTTTAAAGTGTTGAAGAGATAAGTTCTTATGATAGTTTCATTAAAGAAATAAAATTTTGTGCAAATTTGAACAGGAATTTATAAACGAAAGAAAATTTTAGTAAAATTTTAATGAAAGGAGTAAAAATAAATCATTTTTTGTTTTTTTGAATGAATGAATAGTTTTTGGACTTCTCCATTTAAAGCAATATTTACCATTAATTCTAATTTATTTAGTTCTAAAAATATGAGAAGATGATTTAAAGTTAGTTTTTTAGGTAGTCTGTTGCTTCAAGTTCTGTTAATGTTCTTTAACATTTAGTAATAATTTATATATTTTTCTTTTAATACCATGAGTATAAAGTATTAAATAAGTATTTCGATTACAAATATTAAATTTTTGCTAGGAATTAAATAAATTTAAAATACATAAACAATAAACAAAAGTTTGACAATCAAATTACAATTTTAAGAAGTTGCTATTTTCTAATTAAAACAAATTAATTAACTTAATAAAAGACTAATTTTATAGTTTAAACATATAATAATGAATAAATAGTGTTAATTTTAATTAAAATCAAAAACTTTTCTGTAACATAAATTAATTATTTCAGGATTTATGGCTTTGAGAAATGTAATTTTATTTTCCATTGTGTTCAAAAACGTATGAGACTAAAGGAATCAAATCAGGTATTCGCAAATAATTTGACGATGTTTTTATTTACAATAAAATTTATTAAAAATAATTAATTTATTTTTAAAATAAATAAATAATAATTTTACAGATTAATTACATACAATTTAATGTAAAAAAAATTTATTAACTTTTAAAAAAAAAACTTTCGTGTTACGTTTAAAAAGTAACTCATTTGATAATAGCAAAAAAATCTTAATGACGTCAAAGAACAACAAATATGGAGGCGTGCAACGCAGTTGAGAAAGAAGTTGATAAAGTAATTACAAAATTTAGTGGTATACATGAGCATTCTGAAAAAACTCTACATGATTTATCTAATCATATAGAAGCTCTTAAAAAAAAAATGGATGAAAGTAAGTACTTTTTAATATTTTTATTATAAATATAAATACTGTTCGTTCTTTGTTTTCACTTGCTCTGTTAATATTTACAAATTGGCATTTTGAAGGTCCTCCTGGTCATGAACTCACTGTAGCTCAAATTTTAATTATGAAACAAACAGTAAATCGAGTACGTGAGTCTGTGCATAGATTAGCTGCTGATCATAGGGATTTGCACAGCACTGTGTCCAAAGTGGGCAAAGCAATAGACAGGGTTAAAAAAATTTTATAATTTTTTAAAAGTTTAAATTTTATGAAATGTATTTCCGTTAGATAAACTTCAAAATTTTTTTCTTTATAGAATTTTGTTTCTGACTTTGCATCAACTAGTAAAGAAGATGTGTTTAATGGGCAAGAAAAAATACAGTTATTGAATCAAGTCATATGTCAGCATTTTTACAGACAAGGAATGTTAGAAATAGCAGAAGAGCTTTCAAAAGAAGCTGGAATAAAAACCGAGGAGGGTAGTAAGGAACCATTTACAGAATTGAACAAAATTTTAGATTGTTTAAGGCAGCACGATTTGGAGCCAGCATTGGAATGGGCAAGAGCGAGAAGGGAAAATTTGGAAGCACAAAATTCAAGTTTAGAATTTAAATTGCATAGATTACATTTTATAGGTTTGCTTCAAGGCGGATTAGCTAAGCAAACCGAAGCTGTTCAGTATGCTAGAAAACATTTTCATCAATTTGTAAATAGACATGAAAAAGGTTGAAATTTTATTTCGAGTTAAAGTGCAACACTGTTTCAATTTTTTAAAACTGTTTTTTTCTCTTTTTCTCTTTAGAAATTCAAAATTTAATGGGAATGTTTTTGTATTTACCTCAAGGTTTGGCCTCATCACCTTATCACTACCTCCTCGATCCCACATTATGGGCTGAAATATATGAAATATTTACAAAGGATGCTTGCACTTTATTAGGTTTAAGCGTTGACAGTCCTCTTTCAGTTTGGTATGGAAAAAATTTCAATTCATTCTTTTTTTAAAGGTTTAATTCAGTTTTTTAAAAATGATGATGTAATTAAATGCACAAGACGGTATTACTGTCAATTACTCACTTTTCGTCTTAATGAGAAATAGTAACTTTTAAAATTCATTAAATGTGATTCGATAAATATTTACATAGCATTTGAAATGATGGTTTTTAATAATTCAATAATAATAATCATTTTTCATGTTTATCACAGTATAAATGCAGGATGCACTGCCTTACCAGCTTTATTAAACATAAATCAGGTTATGTTACAACGTCAAGTTACTGGCATCTGGAATGGAAAAGATGAATTACCCGTGAGTATTTTTCAAATTTTTTAAATTATTAAATTAACCATCAAGACATGAATAATAATAATAATAATAATAATTTTTTATTGTTTTTCAGATTGAAATTGATTTGGGTCAAGAAAATTTATATCATTCAGTATTTGCTTGTCCTATATTAAGACAGCAGAGTACGGAAACAAATCCTCCGATGAGATTGGTGTGCGGTCACGTGATATCAAGAGATGCACTTAATAAATTAACAAGCGGGAACAAGTAAGTAGTCAAATAAATTTATTAAAATTTCTTCTAAAACTTTCTTTTCCTTTCATGATTTATTTTTGCGAATGAAAAAGAAAAAGTTGATCATGTTTAAACATGTCACTATAGAATGTCTTGAAGACTCCTTATTTTTTTTTATTTTAGATTAAAATGTCCATATTGTCCGATGGAACAAAATCCAGCAGATGCGAGATTAGTTTATTTTTAACGATATTCTAATTTAGACTGAATTTGTATATTTAATTATCCCGAAAAATAATAATTGAATAGTACTTATAATAATTAACTATAAATTTTTATAAGAAAAAGGAAAACTTATTTAAAAGAAATCGAAAGAGAAAATTTCAACTTTTTTTTTTATCTCTAAGAACATGGGTTAAGAAAAGAAAAAAGAAAAATTTAATTATTTTAAATGTTAACCATATAAATAGAACAAAAAAGAAAGTTTTTTAAGTTGATTATTACAATTGAATAAGTAATACTTGTTGTGTAGGTTAATACTTTAAAAAACAAAAGAAAGTCAATTATAAGGGAAATTGCCTTTAAAAAAACAATATAATATAAAGTCACGTGATTAATTAATTCATGAAAAAAAGATAAATAAATAAATATTTTACGTTTTTATTTATAATAAAACTGATATTTTTGTCTTAATGATAAAAAAAGAGTTTAAGGGTTTTTGCCAAAGTTTCCACCCCCTCCCCTCCCCTCCTTCTCAATGTGTAATTAAAAGGAAAAAATTTTAATTTTGATTAAATTATGGTTAAAGTTATTAAAAAAGGAGAGATTTAATAATTTAAAGAACAAAATCGTCGTAAGATCGATAAATAAATAAATGTTAATAATGTATTCCTTTTTTTTTATTTTCTGTATATTTACATAATTAAAAATTGAGCTATTATTATTATTATTATTATCATTATTATAAATTCGTATTTATTTATTTAAATTAAGTATGGCGTTTTTCACATAAATAACAATAATAATTTATACTTAATGTCATAAATAAATAAATATATATATATATATATAATTCGTGAATTAAAAAAAAAAAAACTATTATTATTATTATTATTATTATTTAAAATAAAAAGAGAGTTACACACGTTTTTGGCCAGTTTTGGTCGTAGAATATATATATATAAAATAAAATTTTATTTATTATAATAGTATAACCCTGATTCTTATTTAAAATTTTTTTTTTTTTTTTTTTTTCACATTCAAATAAAAAATTAATTTTTCTTTTCTTTTAATAAATAAATAATTTTATATTTTCTCACTCACATTTTCTTTCCCCCCATCCCCTACTCCCACCACCACCCCCATTTTCCCTCCCTCATAATGATAATACTGAATTATTTCGGAATGCCATTTATTGTTTTTTATATATATGTAAAAAAAAAATTTTCTTTTTTTTCTTTTTCATTATTTTATTAAATATCATTATTATTATTAATAATAACAGTAGAAAAATAAGTTTTATTTATTATTAAAAATAAATTAAAATTCTTTTTTTTTATTTGTGACAGACAGAAAATAAAAATAAAATAAAAATTTTTTTGAATGGTTGTTAATCCATTAACGAATTGGCAGTTTCATTCGACTCATACCTTAATAATGTAATAATAATTTCTGATAATTTATTTTATTTTATTTTTTTTTTTTGTTATCATCATTTAGGTTTTGTAATATACTTTTAAAAAAATTATTTAAAAAAAAAGAAAACAAAAAAAAACTTGAAAGAAAACAACAAGTTCAAGGCCGTTTATCATTTTTAATTTTAATACAAATAATAGGCCCTTTAACAATACTTTTATTTATTTATTCATGTTTCAGGTTTATGTATATATATATATTTATATAATTATTTTATCATTATTATTTTTCTTTGAGGTTTTTTATTTTTAAGGATACTTTAATTTATATTTTTATATGGAATATGTAATGTCCAATCAACCATTCCGATAAATCACAACTCTTGTTTTATTTTTTTTTATTTTGGCTTTTATTAAAGCTAAACCTCATTAAATTAATAATTATAAAATCCCCATCGATAAGTAATATATATATATTCAATATAAAAAATAATAATAATACTAATAATAATAATAATAATAGATAATCAATCGTTATTATTATCATTAATAAATTATTCAACCTTTAAACGCTTGCTAAATTCTTCCTGTTGTTTTTCCTTCCATTCTTTTTTCACAGCTGATCTTTTTAATTGACCGTCCCACATTAAATCGACTAAACCTCCCCTTTCTGATATTGCTCTTTTAACCCTATTGGCAAAGTCTATTGAACTCTCTCCAGGTTTTTGTTGCATCGGAGGCAAATACCAAACGTCGCAGACAATGGCCCAACTCGTCATCATGCAATACAAATATTGAAGCATTGAATATTTGCTACTGTTCCAAAAAGCATCACCAAACCTTGGATCATACTATCGAAAACAAAAAAAAAATTTATAATTAATAATCTTTTTTAAATTTCAGAACCATTTTTTTTTTTTTGTTTTTACCTTGATGGCAACCGGATAAACAGTACCGCCAACTTCGAAACTTCCTTTTTTAAATTGCATAACGGACGTGTTGTTTATGCACGTTCCCTCGGGAAATATTAAAATAGGAGGTTTCGTTTCGTCGAATACGTGTTCTCTCAGTCTTTTAGCTACCGCGTGTCTATCTTTTACTTCTGATCTTTCGAACCAGATATGTGATGAAGCTCTGGCCAGAGCTCTTTGCAATATTCCTAAAAATCCACCGTGTCTTTGACCAATCTAAATACGTTTAAAAATGCACAAAGTATTATTATTATTATCATAAATCAATAACAAAACGATGTGAAACGATGATAATGTAATGATTTTATAAATGAAATTTAAAATAACTAAAAAAAAAAAAAAATATTTACTTAAATATAGGTCTTGGAAAAAAAAAAAAAAAAGAGATACCGAAAAGAAACCTACCAAAGCATAGCAATTATCACAGGCAAGAACTAGAACATCTATGGGCGATGTGTGATTGGCAACACAGATTCCGTTCTTAGGTCTGTTTTCTTCATTATGGTACGTAATGACCGACGATAAAGCACTCGACAAAACTCCAAAGCACATTATTGATACGTGACGGTTAAGCCACCTTTTCAATTCTCCTTCTGGGAAATACCCCACAATAGCTGTGCATAACGTTAACCAAAGCGTCTGAAAATACAAATTTTGCAATACGGGCCAATACACAAAGTGAACCCAAACTGAACGTCGAATGATACCCAATGAAGACACAATTTTTTTTTTGTTTTTAAATGAATGTGAAATTTTTTGAATTTAAAAAATTCCTTGTGCACCCAAACAAAAATAATATTTAAAAACAATCACAAAAAAAAAAAAAAAAAAAAAAAAAATTTATAAGGACAAACATTTGAAGAACATGCTGACACAACAAAACAGATGAATTTTTTTTCCTCCCTATAACAGTACATTACTAACCAAAGAATACATTACATCCGTAGAAAGTATAGCTACATCTACAATAGTAGTATGGTTAGCAACGCAAATTCCTCCATTTATTGGCCTGTATTGTTTATCATGGAATTTGATGACTGCTGACAGGGATCTCATTAAAATTCGAAAAGCTATAAGGGTGGCTCTCTTGGTTAACCACAATTTGAAAATAGTATTTGGCAAATACCCGATTATTAGAGTGGACAAAATTAGCCAAACTACCTGCATTTGTTTCATAAATTTACTGCATTTAATACCACTTTTCAATACTTAATACATACTCGGAAAAAATTAATATACAACAGATAAATTTTATTATCTATAAATATTTCTAAAACGAATCGAGTGAATTCCCTAAATACTAAAATATTATTACACTGAAGATAAAGTTAAATTTAAATTTTATAAAGAATATTTTTAATAGCTAACATAAATAGAAAAAAAAAAAAAAAAAAAATTATTGTAAAATTGTACTCGAATCTATAAACCTGAATAACATTCAACTTACCCCGAAAAAGCATATGGTCACTCTAAGAGGTAACAAAAATGTATATCTCATTAAAAATCCAAACATCCATATAACAGTCAGTCTCCAACTAATAAATTCATAATTATGATTTGTTCTAGTTAACAAATTCCAAGATTTCAATTCTTCAGCTTCAAATCTTGATGTGACTTGATCTTCAATGATGGCTTCAACTCCTGTTCTAATGTAGTCCAAACAATCAGAGAGTTCAAATTCTCTTTTAGGAGGTTGCAAATCTTGTGAATCTGTAGTTACTTTATTCGAATTAATCGGTAACTTTTCCTAAAATTTTAAAAATAATAATACTGATAATAATTTACTCTTTTACATCTTTTAAATTTAATAATAATAGTAAAAAAAAAAATTTTTTTAATTAAATATACTATTAAAAGAATTAAATATTATAACTTACATATACTTACACAATTTAAATGATTGTTTGAAATATTTTGAATATGCAAATTATTGTTTCCTGTATAGTTCAATTCAGGATCAGGCACAAGAATTAAATTTTCTCTACTTATAACTGAAGATCTAGTTTTTCCTACAGGATCTGAATGAGTATTCATTTTCCCTACCTCCCCTCCTCCCCTATCATCTTCTTCTTCTTCATTATCTGATCCTTCTCTGCTTCCTTCTTTTACTTTTTGAGCTATTTCAATATGTTGTTTACCATACTAGAAAATAAAAATTGTCATGCAAAATCTTAAATTATTATTAATTTAAAGTAACTTTTTTATTTTGTGTAAGGATTATATTACTTCAATGCAATTTCCTTTTTTTTTTTTTTAAATAAAAAAAAACTCATAAAACCAAGGACTTAACTGCCATATTTAAACAGTTTAATGTTCACATGTGATTTATGAGATACCTAGAATTTTAATTCGCAGGATAATCAAAATAAGTACGTAGATATTGATAACGTGAAATAAGTTAATATCAATAAATAGTTTTACATTTCCATTTTAATTCAAAAAAATATTAACCACAAAACAAAATATATATTTATTGTATTTCCTGCTTAATACTCAAGGCTGAGTACGTTTCATTACGTTTAATTTCACAACAATGTTTTTTGTATAATTTACCTCAAATATCTTAATAAGTATTTTTATATACAATCTCCGAACTCCAAACGATTTTCCCATAGATGCTAAAAATATTGTTCCTAATAAAAACATTAAAAAAGGAGTATACAGTAGCGAAAAGCTAACAGACATTAAATTAAACCAAAACGCCATTTTGAAAACTGTTTTCAGGCTCAATTAAAAGATCTCACAGACCTTTGTACTATTTTTTTTTTCGAGAATGTTGAAATATTAAAATGAATTTTTCCTTATACATTTTTATTTGATTTTTTTAAAATGACTACGTAATAACGATTACAACATATTTATGAATTTTTTTAGTAATTTAGATAAATATTTTAGATGTAGGAGGCATTGTTAAAACAATTTTACAAGAAATAATGAATAGTCATCTTTCATTAGAATAATTTAAAAAGAAAAAAATTATTTTATTTATTATATTATAAAAAACGCTATGATTATTTTCAATAATTTATATAGAAAAATAAATATTTAATTAGAGAGAATATTTTTTTTTTGTAAAGATAATTAAGTTAATTACGGAGGCATTGGCAAACGTGTTAAGATTTTTTAGGGCCAAGAAATTTTAATTCTGCTTTTAAAAATGTCTGCTTTACAACCAGTAAATGTATCTCCTCTAATTAAAGTAAGTAATTTTAAATTTTACTTATTAATTTTATTTATCCATTCTTTCGATATATTATAAATTTACTGTTGATTGAAGTATAATCTACCGTTATAATTAACCTTAAAGCTGTATTCATTCAAATCGTGACTTTGTAAATCCCAATTTTTTTTTTTTATTTAATTTAAAATACTTTAATTTTTGTATAGGGAGCTCGATGGAGTTTTCTAATAGGAGGACTAATTTACGGAAGATTGAGATATAATTATTTAATGAAAAAAGAACAAAGAAGGTTAGACGAATTGGAAAGAACTAGACCAGAGCGAGAAGCAAAATTAGCCGAAAAGTTGAAGAAAATGCGGGAAGGTAAATAACACATTCAATATGAATAATTTTTTTATTTACTTATTGTTAATATAATAATTTATTTTCAATTATCTTTACAGAGGAAATGAGAGCTATCGAAGAGTTATCTAAACCATCAAAAGTTTAAATTAAATATTGCACTCTATATATGTACTCGTATTCATTAAATAATAGTTTATTTTAGGAAATTTTTGTCATAGTTATGAAATATAATACTTAATAATATATAATCATGCATAACGATTAATACTTCTACACTTAAACACTTGAATTTAAGTTATACTCTGGAATTATATACATAAAACATTTTTGCTAAAGTTTTTTTTAAATTTGAATATATTAGGGCATTTGAAAAGGAAATTAGTTTGTAAAATAATACAAGAAAAAAGAATTAAACTCTTAGTTTAACATAAAACATATATTTATCTTTAAATAAAACAAAATAATAAATCATCATTCGTGCTTAATATTTTGAAAAAACCATTGAACAGCAGCTAAAAATGCAGGAGGACTCATCATGTCCTTTGAGTTAATATAATTTTTAACTTCTGGAATTGTCAATTCAACTACTTCAATAAATTCACCCTCTTCTCTCAGACCTCCCCCTGATGATACTTTTTGATCATCATTAACTTCTACATAGTATAATGTCTGTAATTGACCAGTGATTCCGACTCCTCTAAAAAAGAAAAAAAATAATTTGAAGACTCCTTCAAAGATCCAAAGAAAAACGATTAAATTTTACAAAATTACTTACCTAAAACTAAATAATTTTTTTAAACTATTAACAGGAACATCATATCCACACTCTTCTAATATTTCATCTTTAGCTATATCAACAATTTTTCCAGTTTTGTCGACAAGACCGGAACACAATTCTAATGAATAACCATTAAGTAAATTATATTTTTGAGTATCAATTATCGTTCCACTTTTTTTATCAGGAACTTGAGATAAATACAAAGCTGAAATATAATTTTTCGAATACATAAATCATAAATTAAAAAATTAAAAAAAAAAAACCTATAAAATTAAATATCTTACCGGGTCTAAATTGACGAACAAATACCAAAACTTTACGATTCGTATTGTAAATTAAAATTGAAACACTTGAAGTGAATAATAAAAGGTTAAATGATAATAATAATAATAATAATAAAACAGATATTTAATTTAAACTTTAATTAAAATTTACCTGTCGTGAATATGTAAAAAATCCCAATATTTTTGTTTTCCGTTAATTTGGAATTCAGCTCTCATAGGTTTTAAATACATTGATTCCGTCAATGTAGATATTTTCATTTCACTGATATTATCATTTACTTTTAAATTCATTTTTAAAATATGTTTATAATTAAAACTTAGGAATATAAAACAATTAAAATAACTATAATTTAATTAATACATCACGTTCTTATAAATAAGTTACGTAATAGGATAATTTTTAAAAATAAATAACCAGGGAAAGAATAATAGGAAAAGATTTTAATCCAAGAAGTAAGAGTAATTTATTGTCATAGACGGTAATAAATTTTTTAACTTGTTTGTTACTCTATGACATGAATTTCATCAAACGCGACGAATCATCAACGTTACTTTCCGTGATTTTAAGGTAAGTTATTTATTTCAAATTAATTTTAAAATTTAATACTTATTATTATTTAAATTTGAGGATATAAAATTAAGGTTTTATTAATGATAAACGGGTTTTAAAAAAAAAAATACTCTTTATTTACATATTAGATACATTTTTTTTTTTTACGACAAAACGTTACAAAAATATCTGTTCCAGGAACGCGCGCGCATTTTTTTTTTTTTATTTACAAATTTACATACACAAAATGTCAATTAAAATTTATTTTTTTTTAACTTTATCTTTGCCTTTACCCTTATCTTTATCTTTATCCTTATCCTTACCTTTGTCCTTATCCTTACCTTTGTCTTTATCTTTATCTTTATCTTTACCTTTGCCTTTATCAATGACTTTATCTTTGCCCTTACCTTTACCTTTACCTTTGTGTGGTGTTGTTGGAGGTGGTGTTGGAGGAGGCGGTGGTGGAGGCTGAGGAGGTGGCGGACAATCTTTTAAATTGTATTGAGTTTGATGATTTACCATTTGTATGGCAGTATCAGGTTCAGGTATTTCAAATTCAAATTCTAAATCAGATTCACTGTCAAATTCTTCATCTAACTCAGGTCTGTTAATGGTGAATTTAAGCGGTTGTTTGATATCTTTATATTCTTCTCCTGGTTTCACAACCGGATACATTGTTATATGATAAGATCCTTTGTGTCGATGAACGTGAAGTGTTGGTGGTCTTCCTTCTATTTTATCAGGTAGGGGTACCAGTTCTGAGCTTTTCCTTCTTTTTGTTTTTGGATTTACTTTAGGAGGAGGGAGTCCTCGTCTTTCTCTGCTTAATTCGATTATTTCTAATATTTCCGGTGGTATATCTCCTGGTTCCCAATCTTTAGAACGTTTCTACAAACAATAAGATATTATTTATTACAAAAAAAAAAAAATAAACAAACAAATTAATAAGATTGATAAGGTTTATTCATTGATATGAAATTTTGTTTTGTTTTTTTTTTTAAATAAAACTACTACTTAACTTAAAATTTTTTTTATAAATTTAAAAAAAAAATAATTTCATTAATGTCGGATTAATTTTTGTTGTTTGTTTAAAAATAAAATAATTGTTCTATTACGATTTTTAAAAAATAATAAAAATATACAAGAGTAATGCATTGAATTATTAATCATCGGGAGATTGTTTATTTTTGCATTTAATTTTCATTATCCATTCATCCCAAGGATAAACATCATCCTCATCATCTTTCTTCTTCTTTCCTTTTTTCTTTTTATATTGTGGAGTTGCAGGTTTCGGAGGTTGTGCCTTTCCTCCTTTAGTTGCCGTTTCCTTTCCACCTTTTTTAGTTGGCGTGCTTTTTGCAGGAGCTTTTTTACCACTTGAATCTTTACCAGGTGCGACTTTTCCTTTACCCTTAAGACTCGATTGTTTTTCTTTCGCACTCGGTTTACCACTTTTCCCACTTTTCCCGCTCTTATCACTTTTTCCGCTTTTCCCACTTTTATCACTTTTTCCACTTTTTGCCGAACCCGGTTTCTTTTTTTTACTCGTGACTACTCTCGTGGCAATTTTTTCTTTTTTCTTTTTCTTTTTAATGAAAACTTTTTTAGGTTGTATCAATGGTAAATCTTCTTCGCAAAATTGTTGTGCTTGATGTTTGAGTTTTGGAGGAGGAGGATACGGTGGATCGGGTACCGTTAGATCTAATTCTATTTCCGATGCATCCGATCCATCTTCCGGTCTTTCTAAGGTATATACCACCGGCTCGGGATCTTCTTTATCATCGGGTCCTTTTACGGGATTCATTGTCACGTGATAAATACCCTTAATTCTATGTATGTGTACTGTAGTTTTCCTATTGTCCGGCGGAAGTGGTTTTCTTTTAATCTTTCTTTTTTTACCCAATTTTTTAAGTTCTTCCACGGCTTTTATGGTAGCCCACGTTTGCTTCAAATAAGCTCCTGGCCTCCAACCTCTAACATCTTCCCACTGAAATCAGTCCGAAGCGAGAAAGGCATGAGTAAATTTTTTTTTTATCACTTTGACACGATGAATAGTAGCAAACTATACAGTTTTTGTGGTACTTTGTACCTCCTCTTCCTTTCCTACATTTTATAAATTTCTAGGTAGCATTGCTCTCAAATTTTTATTACGTAGAGTAGTAGTAGGTTTCTAATTTTCACACACATAATAATAATTTTTATTTAAATTATAATAATAATAATAATTGAAATCTTACCTTCATTCCTGCTGGTACGGTTGTTTTCCACGCCCAACCATTTTTAGCGGGTACCGGTGGTCCTTGACTGACACAATATTTATGACCAAGTATAACACCCGGGTAAACAACTTCTTGGGGTACATGAAATTTCGTTTTCTTTTTTCTTTTTTGCGAGGGTAATTTAACACCATTTTCAACGTTAATTTTTTTATGGTCGGCGCTTTTTCCTCTGCTTTTTGTTTTATGAGATTCCGGTTCTTTTTTAACGATTGTAACAGACTGAGATTCGGATGGTCCGACATTACCACTTTCGTAAGGTTTTTTTAAATTATCTTGGCAATCTTCTGGATAACCGATTTGCATGTTGGCAGTGAACCCGGGTCCCTGGAACTGTAGTTAAAACCGATTTACACTTTTTTTTTTTGTCCGTCCTACAATTGGAATTGATCTTCTTTTGACTTTAGAACTTACTTCATGTTTTTGGAACCCGGGACCTTGTTGGAACGTTTTTCTCGGCTGTGATTTGTAATCATTACACGGATCCTGATAGTAGTCGGTCATTTGTTCTTTATCCAAACAGGGAGGCATTCGATTTTCGTCGCCGCCGTATTCCTGTTCCCATATTTTCCCTTCTTCTTCTCCTTCTTCTTCCTCTTCGGAAAACTGAAATGCTCTAGGACGATTTATAGGTTGACCCGGCATACACTTTTTACATTTAAACTCATAATCTTGAGTTTTTGCATTTTTGAAAAGGAATGATTTTTTATTATCTGCTATTTGAAATTTTGTTATTATTGTCTTGCCGAAACATGTCAACCTGATGAGCATATTAATGGTACCGACATCTTGATCTTGCATATTTCTCAAAGGAAACGTGTCTTGAATCATTTCGCTTAACGGTTCCTCCAAAGCCCACTCCGCGGCTCTTTTAATAATCTTTGACATGTAATCTCCTAAAAGAACCTAAATATTTTTTTTTTTTTAAATTATTTTATCGTAACGTCAACGTGGTAAAAAAAAAAAAAAAATCATTTGTATTCGCACAAAATTTATCAAATTATGGAAAATGGTTCAAATTTATATTATTTAAGTACCTTCGTTTGACCTATAATCTCTGGAAGTGGATTTTCCGCTCTTTTTTTAAATACGGTTACGGCCATGGGATATTTGATTAAATCTTGAAATAGCTGTTCGGGGTCCATAGGAAACATACATGATTTACCACTGCTAAAAACGATCGGAGTCGTCAAAAAATCACATTCTTTTTTTTCTTTTGATGGCGGAGCCAAATCTTGGGTTATTTCAAAACATGGAAAATCGCTGAATTTGACTCGGACTCGTACGGGAGTGTCTGGTTCATCTTCGCACTCCGGAGCAAAAGCTTCCAATGCCGTTTTTAAAAGTCTTACTCGATCTACGAGTACTTCTAAAAGAAAAAGTTGTTCGTAATTTGCCATTGTTCAAAATAAAAAATTATTTTATTAATTCTAAACAAAGACAAAACAAAAAAAAAAAAAGTTATAATAATAATTTTATATCAAAAATTTTGCAGGACGGACATTTTAATTTTTTTTTTAATAAAAACAATAATAATAATAATAATATTTACACGTGATATTCATATGTTTCTTTTTAAATTTTGTATTTAATTTTTTCAAAAAAAAAAAAAAAAAATTTATTTAATCATTATGAGTTTATTAACATAATTTTTTATTTATTTTTAATTGTTAATAATTAATTTTAATATAATTACACCCAATACTATTTTTTTTCCAATGCAATTAATAATAATAATAATAATGTAATTAATTTTTCTCGTTTAAGATATCGACCGGTCGTCACATTTGTGAGTGAAGTAATAAACATGCTAAATGTTATGCTTTCAAGTATTTCAAATTGCATAGTACGAGAAGTGAAGGCGTCGAGGTAACATCAAAAAATTTTTAAGGTAAGAAACACACGCATTTTCTTTTCTTTTTTTTTTTTAACATTTTCTTTCTCGGTAAATTTTAATTATTTTATTTTAAAAAAAAATTATTATCGATAAATAATTTATTTAATTAAAAAGAAAAACCTTAAAAAGGTTTAAAATGATTCGAAAGTCAGTAACAAACAAACAAACAAACAAATTAGAGTCACATTTTTCCGACAAAAAGTTTATTAAAAAGGAAAATTATTAAGTTTATTAATAAGAAAATAAAAATCGTTTTATTGTAAAAGGAAAAAATTTCCCTCGATTCGGTACTGGGCAACAAAACAAGCCTAAAGCAGGGGCAGGGTCTTTGGGGCATGTCACGATCTCGTGAGCCGGCGGGAGCCATTATAAACATCAGCATGCTATGTAGATCTTTAAATTTTTTTTTTTTTTTTAAAAACTTTTTTATTTACAAAGAATATAAATTTTTGCAGCCATTTTGTTTTTTTTTTTTTTTGCTCTGAATTGCACACTTTTTTATATTTTGCCGTAAAAAAAAAAAAATCATCACGAATTATATTTATACTCGATTGAAATTTTTTTTCTGTACAAATTCGAAAAATACGTGGCCTCAGGTACGACCTTAAGGATAATACTACGCCTTTCGAATAAGAGCCCTGGGAAAGTAGCCTACCTATCTACCGTACCTTAGGATTAGTTCTAATTCTAATAATCAAACTTTGTATATAAGACCGGTAAACACTTAATTACATTTACTTCAAAACTTTTATTCGTGTGCTTCTTCTTCTTCTTACCTTTCCCCCCCCCTCTCTCTCTCTCTCGTGTGTTTTTTTTTTTGTACCTGATTTTTCTTTTTATAAATCCGGTTATATATATATATATATATTTTACAATGAAATTTACGTCATTAACTTCCTAACATTTTTATTTCATTAAAAAAAAAAAAAAAAAATTATTTTATTATTTTATTTTACTACAAATGTTTTCAAAGCTAATAAAAAAAAAAAAATTAAACGCAAGATATCTCTCTAATTGCTACTAAACCGACAGTCATGATTTGTAACTAAGAAAAAAAAAAATTTAAACAAATTTAAACCGTGAACTTACGTACCTGTTATCAACATATTGATGGGAAATAATAATAATAATGAATCAGCAAATTTAAATTTTTTTGTTTAAAAAAAAAAAAAAAAAATGTCCGACGGTTTTACAAAAAAAAAAAAAAAATTTGTGTCATCGTTTTTATTGGGACGATTTCTTTTTTTTTTAAAAACTATTTTATTATAAATTAATGACGTCATTTACTTGAAAACGTATGACGTCATTTATTTATTTATTTAAAAACATAATTATGTTCATATATATAAAATCACGTTAAATAAATTTTATACAGACAGACGATAAAATTCTATTCGGATTGAATGAATGAAAATAAAAAATTTTCTTTTGTTTACATTTTTTTTTTTGTTGGGTTGGTATCCTTGGTGATAGTACACCTAACAATATCGTTGGGGATTTAATTTAGCATACATATATATTTTATTGTGAGAGATTCGTACGGATAGTTTTTAAAATTTAATCATAATTTCTTTTATTATTTCCCTTTTTTTTTGGTACGTTTGTTGTTTGTACCTTAAAAAAAAAAAGGGTAAACACAAGCGCATTCAATAAAAGAATTCTCCTCCTCCATGTTTGTTGACAAACAATCGAAAAATAAAATTTTTTTTTTTTTATGCGAATGTTTTTTTTATAATCGATTGTCGTGGGTTTGTTTACCTGCGTGAAAGTTTTTTTTTTTGAAAAGTACTTACGTACCGATTTTTTTTTTTTGTTTACTTCCTTTCAGAATTGTTTATTATTATTATTATTATTATTATTATTATTATTATTATTATTATTATTATTATTATTATTATTATTATTATTATTATTATTATTATTAATCATTCAAGTACGCGTGAAAATTGTTTTTTTATATTTTTTTCCCGAATGAAAATTAATTTAATTAAAATCCCTCCCCTAATTTTTTATCAAACGTTCGGTCATGACTTAAAAAATCGAAATAGGAAATGAAGGGGAGGGAGAAGAAGGGGGCGAGGGAGGGTGGGAAAGGAAGGGGAAATAATTTTTTTTCTCAGATTCGTAATTTTCTTACAAAAAAAAAAAAATTCTACGAATGCAAATGGCCGAAGAAGTAAAAAAAAAAAAAGAAGAGGAGTCAGTTTAAATAAAATGACAGAACCTGTGGCATATAAAAAAAAAAAAGCAAGTCATTCATTCAAATCGACGTCCATCATTAAGGTTCCCCGCTTCCCTCCCCCTCTCCCCTTCCTTCCCCCTCGAAAATTATCACTAATAATCCATTAAAAAAAATTTTTGAATTTTCTTCTATTCGCCCTTTGTCTTCTTCTTCAACTCCTATTTTGGTCATTTTTTTTTTTTTGTACTGATAGAATAATTTTGTTTAAAAAAAAAAAAAAAATCGTGATTTAATTTTGTTTTTACAAACCGAACAACCAACTTGTTCCCCCCCGCTTCACCCCCTCTCCCTCCCCACCCCACTCCCCCTCTCTCTTTCCCCCAAATTGTTTTTCTTTTATTCTTTATACGAGTCGCCATTTTTTTATTATTATTAGAAATTATTTCGCAATTATCACACACCCACCCCCCACATTAAATAAAAATTATATTTTTTAATTATGTGACGTCATTAAATTTGAATTTTTTTAAACACAAAATAAAAGAACAACCAACTCATCCCCCCCCCGCCCCCCGAAAAAAAAATTTTTTTTCCTTTTATTAAAATTATTTTAAATTATTAACGAATAATAAAATGACGACAACAACAACAACGACAAACAAATTTTAAAAACTTTTTTTACGACGAAACAATGTTAATAAAATTTTGTTTTAATTTTTTAATTAAACTATTTCCGCCATTTTGTACGTCCTTGATTATATTTTTCCAAACCTTAAAAAAAAATACCTGAATACTCGTTTCATGTTTTTTTTATTTTATATAAACTCGTGAAATTTTTTTTTTTTTCTTTTCGGTTGGTTGTTGTTACAAACATTCAATTTTATTAATAAAAAAAAAAATTTGTGTTTGTGTTTGTTTGTATATATTTAATTACGTTAACTCGTTCGACAAACGTTTTAGGTGTGGTTGTAGGTTTTATGTGTGCAAATCTCTCAACCTGTAAATTAATAATAATAAAAAAACCATTTTTTTTTTAAAATCTAGTTTTAGTTAATAATATAAATAAGGTTTAATTAATAATAATAATAATATTAATAATTTGATAACGTTATCAATCAATGAATGTGAAATTTACATAACGAATACGATCGTTAAGAAAAAAAAAGGAAAAATTTAATTTGTTTGATTGTTTGTTTTAAAATGAACGAGTTGGTAGTTTATTATTATTATTATTATCGATAAGGATAATCAAAATATTATCACGATTTTTCCTTTCTCTCTCTCTCTCTCTCTCTCTTTTTCTCCAGACTTTTATATCTCGCCATTAATTTTTATTTTTTTTCCACGGTTTGAAAACAAAAAAATGACCGTTAAAACTATTGGTTTAATAATAAATAAATAAATAAGAAAAAAAAAAAATGATTTGTACGAACAGCGGGGGGGAATCCCCGATCCCCATAAGAAAATTTTTTTTTAAAAAATATTATTTGTGGGGGGAGGAAGGGGTTTTTTTTAAAAGATATAATTAAAAATTGTGAGATGGAAATCGTACCTGGAAATTTTTTCTTTCTTTTTCTTTCTACTACATGAACTAATTTGATTTAAATAAATTTTTTTATTTAAACATTGATTTTTAAATAAATAATCCGAGTCGTTAAAATAAATAATAATAATGATAATGATAATGATAATAATAATAAAACAGGTAGAAAATATAAATGGAAATAAAAAAAAAAAAAACTTTGTCCGAATAGGAGGAAAAAAAAAACTAAAAACTAATAGACAAACACAACCGAAAATAATGAAACGAAAACTATACACACGAATATTAATAATAATAATAATAATAATAATGATAATAATAATAATAATAAAAACATTTAATCGAAGGGCACGCTGTGAATAATAATTTTTTCTTTTTTTTTTTTTTTTTTTTTTTTCTCCACTGAGGATAATTTTTTTTGTTGAGGCACGAATCTCAGGTACATAAACCGGGAAAATAAAAAAAAATTTATGTGTGTGTGTGTGTGTGGATACAAACAAAGAATTAATAATAATAATAATGATAATGATAATAATAATGAAAAAACTCATTGATTTTTTTTTTTTTCATTGCTTTCTCGCGATTTATTTTTTTAAACTCCTCTTAATTTAATCCCCCTTATTATTATTATTATTAATATTATTATTATTTAATAAAAGGATTAACCCCCCCCTCCCCAAATCACCACGTGACTACACACAAAAACATTTTTCTTTTTTTTTTTTTTTTTTTAATTACCGTAATTAATTAATCTGGAATGTAAATAATAATAAAATGT